GCCTCGCTGTCACGGGCCAGGGGCAGCGAGAGGGAGCGGCACAGACGGCGGGGACGGCACGGCAGAGAGCAGGGGCCGCTCTCAGCGCAATGCCGGGAAAGCCGCAGCTCCGGCGCTGTCGGCCGGGGTGCTTGGCCGGCACGGGGGGATCCGCCGAGAGCCTCCGGCCCCGCGTGGGGACTCCTGCAAGGGCCGAGGGGCGCCGGGCTCCGGCCCTCGGGGCTTTATTCTCCGGCAGCCCGACCCCCGCGGCTGCGGGGGAAAGAAGGAAAAGGGAGACGGGAAGAGAGGAGCGATAGCAGGGGATGAGAAAGGGCAGGGAGGGAGGTCAGACTGTGGAGGAATGCGGGAGGGGAAGGGAAAGCCCGTGGTGGGGGGGAAGAGGGACGGCAGACAGAGGAGGGAGAGAGGGGGAACAGAACGGAGTAGCGGGGTAGGGACAGGACAAGAAGAAGTGGCGGGGACAGGGAGTCGGGATTGGGAGGGAGACGAGAGCAGGGTCTCAGGGACAAAGAGGAGTATGGGGAGGAGGAAAGAGAGGTAGAGAGAGGGACAGGCGGGGAAGCCTCACAGAGCCCCGGCTCCACCCCGAACCCGCCCCGCCCTGCCCGTGATGCTGCGCTCGGCGAAGCTCGGCTATTATCGGCTGCATTCGCCTCTTCGGCTCAGCTCGGCTCCGTTCGGCCGAACTCGGAGCCGCTCGCTGCGTTCGGCTCAGCTCGGCTCGCTGAGGGCGGCGGCGCCGCCTCCCGCCCAACGCGCATAGCTCGCCGTGCTCCTGCTGCCGTCCCACGGACACCCCCCACGGAAGATTAGACAAAGCAGTTTCTATGTTAAACCCTTTTTATCCTATAAGGAGAAAACTTCTCTACCTCCTTCGTTTCCTCATTTTTCTACTTTGATGTCAAAATCAGAGTTTCAAAAACCTACTCAAGTACAAGAGTTAGTAAATAGTCAATAAAGTAGTCCCGTAAATTTCATAACCTACGGAAAAAGTTATACTTCTGTTTCCACAAAAAAAAAAAAAAACCACATGAGAGATTCCTACTCACTGTGTCAAACCTTATTTAAAACACACAAAAAAACCCAACATAAATAGTTCTACAACCAAAACAAAACTAATAAGCAACACTAACTAAAACCACACATCCAAATACAGTGTTTATCAGTCACCAATCCTAAAAATCCATTTTCTACATAGCTTGTTAGTATACCTCTTAACAACTAACCTTACCCCTCACAAAATTTAAATTGTAAATCAAATAATCCAAAACATAACATAAACTTAAAAAACAATTTATACACTCTTACCCAAATTAGTTAAACCACAAAAACTATAATTACTAAAAACATCACCAAAAAATACTTGTATAATATTTAGTTACCAAAAACCTCAAACAAAAAAACACAAAAAACTTACCTCAAAGTATCAAAACTATCATTTAAAACAATTAACATGATTAAGACTTAACATAATAACACATCAAAAAAAAAAAATACATAATCACTCAAACACAAATTTACTCCTCAATAACAATTCTAATGGGAGCGACAAACTGGGTCTGTTGGCCAGTTGCTGAGGGGGTATCAGCGTAATACTAGTGGACCACCTAAAGCACACAAACGAGAATGGAGGCTAAGAGTCGCACCAGAAATCGAGAGCTGAGCAATACCAACTGCTTCCATCCACTGCTCACTGATCACCTTGCCCACTTACCACATTCTGGTAGATAACCTGAGAGCTACACACACTGGTGCAGTCAAACAAGTGCAATAATTACGATAAACAGATTTCAGATATTCATTATAAAACATGTTTTCATGAGCTTCTAAAGCCATCCCCAACTACCCTGGTCAGATTGAAAAACAGCCACAGACAAAAAAAGTAATGCTGAGTCTGTTTTAAAGTTTTAACTGCATATTACCAAAAGGATGAAAGCACTCTGTGCCTTTTAACGATCAAATTGAAACTCGTTCTCCCCATCTCCAACTCTGACGTTCGCAGATCTCTTCCTGATCAACAGTTGTACTGCTACAGGAGAAGCCCACTATCACAGTAGCTGGCATAAGAGAAGTCACGTCATATTACCCAGGTCTACCTAACAGAGGACACGAATAGCAGAACTTTCAACTATCAACATTTACCAGTAGTATTATTGTCTAACATCATTTGTGTTTGGAGATATAAAAAACGGGGCACGAAAAGCTCACAATAGAAAAGAATAAGCCTTTATGCTTGTTAAAAAAAAAAAAAAGATCAGAAAGCATACTTTGATAATGCTTTTTGTATTTACAGAAGTGAAATATACGCATTGAAAATACTTCTGTATACCCACTGTTTTTGTTATGACAGCAACGAAACATTATCACAAATTGAAGCCTGGAAAGTGCTAGAGATTATGTCTAAGCATAGCTATTTAGAAGACAGAGTTTCATTCAAGACCATAAATCATTAGGCTATCAGTCAAGGCTGATCTTTGATTATAGCAGAGAAGCTTAACTATTTTTAAAGTTCTTGGTCTTTAGCTACATCTCACATTTCATCCAAAAGTCTTTGTGCACTTTAAAACATGCAATCTCTTTTCTACGTTTAACTAGTACTTATTAGGGCTAAATTACAATAATGCACACAAGTAAAAACATGGGATGTTTAGCTCAACAATCACACCACCAAACCCTCTTCATAAATTTATTATCTACACTCAAAACTCTTCAGGATTCTAAAGTCTAGTGGGCCACAAACAGAAAACATTTGAAATATACAGTCACTTATAACAAAAAGTCACTAAATATGCTAGCCCTAGTTAACAGTGCAATTTGCTTTAGAAGGGGTCAATCCTAGTTACTAGTTTAGTTCAGAACGGGTCAAAGACACTCTTCATGAGCCAGCATTCAGCCGCTACACTCAGCTTTAGTCCAACCCGACAGTGGTGAGCACCTACTTGGGGGACAGCCCTTCTAAGGGCATCTGCCACAGCTCAGATCACCTTCAGTCTGCCAGCTATCAGTTTAGAGTCTACGAAGTTATTTTTCTTGGGGCTACCTGAGGTCTTGCTCAAATGCTCAAAGTCCGGACATGTACGAGTGAAAGCCCTAAAGGAAAGAAAGGCCCATGACCACATACCTCTTGACTACAAAGTCTCTGCCTACAGCTCTTTTCTTCGTGCTATCTCATCTCTCCAGTCAGGGCCCGTGAGCTACTCAGTAAGTGCAGTTCGCAGTCGCAGCAGAAATATCTGTAACAGTTCATTTTACCAGCTTTACAGAAAGTCTCCAGTGGCATTTCTAGAAAACAAAAGGACACAATGCAACAGGCCACATAGCGTACCACACCAGATAATGGGCTCCGAGTATGCTCGAACTAATTTTTAGCTCCTTATTTCTAAGGGGGAAAAAAAAGAAAACCGAACAATCGTTTTTCCTCTAATGCAATTAAAGTGCAAACCAGCCACCTAGTCGAGGACTATCCACACTTCCCCACGTAAAAAGTCGCTTACGGAAAGGGTCTCTGGCCTCTGCAGCACTCCCCAGGCCAGACGATATCCTACCTATTTCGGAGGCGTGTATGAAGAACGACTCAGTCCCCACTAAACGAAAACGAACAGTAACCAGCAGCGAGGAAGCGCTGATGGTCGGCCTGTGCTCCGGCGGCCTTTGGGAGCCCCACGGAAAGCCGCAGCCCGCTGCTCGGCCCACTGCGGAGCGGAGTTCCGCTGCTTGCAGGCGCGTGACCCACCGCCGGCGCGGGCCCGGCCTCCGCCGGAAAGGGCCTCCCGAGGGGAGGGGGCGGAGGGGGAGAGCTGGGGGGAAAGGGGAGGGGGAGTGCGCTGCGGCATCACGGCGGCTGCGCGGCGCAGCCCCGGAATGCCTGAGCAGGAAACTCCTTTTTTGGGCCGCGGAAGCGCCATAAAAGGCATGGAGGAAATGCCAAATATGGTCGGTGCTGTTCCGGACGGGGACAGCGGAGACGGTGCTTCAGTTTAGCCGGGGCCGCCCCCGGCGCGCTCCCGGCGCTGGCGCGGCACCGCGACCGCTGGAGGCCGGCGGGGGGGGGGGGGGGGGGGGGGGGTGGTCTCCTTCGAGCCAAGCCGGGCGGCCGTTCCTGTCGCTAGTGGTCAGACCTGAATTGGGTTTTAAATCACAAACAGCTGAGGTTTAGTTCCGAACAAATGGGTCTTCTGCGCGTAAGCGCAAAAGCAAGAGGTTTTCGCTTCCTTCCTCGCCGCTGCACTTCCTGCAGGGGGAGGGTTTTCCCCGCCAGTGACAACACCTGCTGTTTCCTTGGGAACAAACTCCTTGAAACCGACTCATCCTACTAATTGGACTAGAAGCAAACTTTTTAAGAAACAGAAATCCTGTCTTCAGGCCAACACCAAACGAAAGATCTTGCAGAAAATGTATGGGCAATGCTTTCTCATAAGGCATTTTTCTTCCCTGAAATTTGTTTTCAATTTATGGGACAAAGGCCACGAAAGTAGTGGATGCAGAAGACCCATGCATTTATTTCCTTTGTGTTACGCTAGCAAGGGTGCACCGCCTTCATTCCTGTATAGCCAAGCATTACTCCCTTACTTGGACTGCTTTTCACACAATGCACCAAAGAGAACCTATCTTCTTTTTTCCTCTTTGGGCATGAAAATTACTCATTTCAAAATGCTCTGGAGAACCTGGGGCACCCTCAGGCTCATCAAGCATTGCTTGACAGCCTACTTGGTCAGTTTTTAGCACAATCAAAATTCCAGAAGGCTAGACCAGGAGAGAGTAATTGTGGCTACTTCAGAAGAGGTGGTGATGCACCTAATGCAAGGACATGAGTCCGCCATCCATGTTTTTTGAAAGCAACCAGACATAAGATTGATTTTGTCTCCTTTCTTTAAACAGGGCTTTTTTTTTTTCCTGGAGACAAGTGGTTATGTGTTGGCATTGAAGCAACTAAAAGAGTTGGGATTGCTGTGGTGCAGTCTTCCTAAGTAGTAATTTCAAGGAAAGTGTAAGTCTGCACAATTTGATGTTTTATTTATTTTTTTTCTGAAGGGTATTGTACACCAAATATCCCAATGGCAGAAAAGCGCATTCAATGTGTTTAGAAGCCAAACAGTCACTTTCATTTTAACAAACACAATTACAAAGTAAAAATAAACCACAAAATAATGAACTGCATGTTCATAACATACAAAAATCGCTGCCTACTCAGTAGGTAACTACAACATTCCAACTCCTGAATATATATATATATATAAATTTACATTTTTGTAACAAAAATAGACTTTGAGAGGTGGAGGGGGAGAGGGTCTGGGGTTGGTTTGTTTTTTTGTTTTGTTTGGGGTTTTTTTGTTGTTTCTCTGATTATTTGTTTTTGGGTTTTGGTTGTTTTGTTTTCTTTTTTGGGGTCTTTTTTTTTTTTCTTACATTCCATCCCCTGGCCCTTTCTCTTGCTCCTCTCCCCACCCATTCCCTGCTCTTCCTTACATTCTTTGAGTAACATCCCTTCCACTTTAAGGCAAGATGCAAAGCATCCACTCACACAAACGCATGACGTCAGCAAGGCTTCACAAAAAGGCACCAAGACTTGTAACTTTTAAAACAAAACTTCTGCCACATGTGAGTGTCTCATCAGATGATAATTACATAGCATCACTCCAACATGCTCGAATACAGTAAGTGCTGTTCCCAAAGAAGTTTGAAACGCATTATAGCATTGTCACTGAAATAGAATTAACATTTACAAAATATGGCCCTGCAAACTCCAAATTATACAATATGAATATGCAAAGATTTTTTCCACATCAATAGTACCTAAAGGAAAGCAAAACCATGGCACATGTACAATTTACATTAGCTAGATACTTAATCAAAAGTCCTTTCTTCCTAATAAAAGACTATTGTTTACGGGGAAAGTTATATTGAACTTATATCCACAGTTCATGCAAATTAAGTCATTCAACAGAGGTGGAAAACTTAAGCAGCAGTCGATTCAGGCAGCTGAAGTTTAAACTAAATAGCCTTGCAACGTATGGTGTTGTGGGAGTAATCGGAGACTCCATGTCTGATAATACCAATGGAAAAGGTGAATTATCCTGTTCCAGAAGGTAGTCTCAGCAGATCTCAATTGTCCTTGGAGAAAAGGCTGAGTTCATGTCTGAAAGTGCTGAGGTTACCTGTGAGCTGAAATTGTTGGTGACTCCTGGAGATGAGAAGGAAGTGGCCACTTGGGTCTGAAAAGTGGCAGTGCCAGAGGGGTAAGTGGTTGCTATAGAAGGAGATGGGAATGTGGTGTGTGCAGGGGAGGGATAGGAAGAGGGAGCAGGAGAAGAATACGCTGTGCGCACTGGGGAGGGATAAGTGCTGGCGATGGAGGAAGGGTAGGATGTAGTCACAGCGGATGAATAGGCAGGAACTGGGGAAGCAGTTGAGGCCGGAGCTGCCTTTTCCACTTTCTTGTCCTTCTGCCTAAGGTGGATTTTAGTGTGCCTCTTCCTCTCATCACTTCTGGCAAACTTTCTGCCACAAATGTCACAAGCAAATGGCTTCTCTCCTGTGTGCGTGCGGATGTGTGTAGTCAAGTGATCACTCCTGCTGAAGTTCCGCATGCAAATGCGGCACTGGAAAGGTTTCTGTCCCGTGTGGATGCGTATGTGCCGTGTTAGCTCATCAGATCGTGAAAACCTCCGGTCACAGGACTCCACTGGGCAGGCATAGGGACGCTCATGAGGAGGCGTCTTGCTGGGACGGTTGGGGTATTTCCTTATCCTGCTGGGCTTGATCAGCTGGGACTGATAATTAGCATTGAGGGTCTTCAGCTCTTGGGAGCCAGTCTGCGTAGCAAATGCCTTGATGGTGGACAGTGGTGTGAGGGAAGGCTGCTGTGCTCTGGTCTCAAGAGCTGGGAAGGGCTTCTGATCAGCTGGAACAAGACTGAGCTCACCCTGTTGCTGAGGGAACAAGTAATCCGGGATCATTGGCACCTGAAAGTTGGTTTTAGCAGTCGGATAAGCTGGAGGTGGATACTGGATGGGGGCTCCAGAGGGGTTGGGGAAAGACTGGGTCTGGGATTCAGGAAAAATGTCAGAGCTGGAATTAGGGAATGTTGGTGCAGCCGAATAAATTGGATTGTTCTCGCTGGCTTGGACAGAACAGCTCAGTGGGGAGCTCTGCGAGGAGGAGGATGGTGATGATGAAGTAGGCGTAGATGTGGGAGGTGCATTAGCCATGCCCACCAGCCCACTGACGAGGCTGAAGAGGGGCTCTGGCCATAGGGGGTTGCTGCTGCTGGGGGCCGGCTCTAAGGAGAAGCGCCCCGTGTAGGTTATCGGTGGCAGTCTCGTCGTTTGGTTGGGATAGCTGGTTTCTGGCAAGGTTTTCTCGTTCAGGGAGATTTCAGGAAAAGTGTCTGCAAAGAGAGGAGTAGCGATTAATTCTAGCAGTTACTGCAGCTGCTGCCGGGGCTTCGCGAGCAATCCCTCTAACAGCGCAGCCCCAGATTCTGGTTAATTACTAATTGAGCGTAACATATTGCAGCGTCGCTGGCAGGTCTCCAGCCGCAGCTAGTCCGGAGCCGCTGACGCACGCAGGAGAATCCCCCCGCGCGGCCGCCGGGACAGAGGCGACGCTGCAGCGCGGAATTCCCGCAGGCGTCGCTGCCCCCTCTGCAGACCGGGACTCCCCGCCCGCCTGGGCGAGGTCAGCGCGCTTACCTGCCGCGAGGTGCTCGAAGTGCTGCTCTCCGGGCTCCCCGGCGGCGCCGAAGCCCCCACTCTCGGGTGCCCCGGGCGGGGCAAGGAACTGCGGACCCCCGCCGCTGAGCAGCATCATCTCCTCCAGCTTGGGATAGTGAGTGTCCATGGCAGGGGGCGAGTGCGGGAAGGCGCCAAAGGGGTCAGAGATCTGCAGCGGGGGTAGGAGCTGCATCTCTGCCTTGGCCGCGGCCATGAGGGCGCCGGGCTCCGACTCTGACGGGTGATGGCGCTGCCACCGCGGGGCCGGCGGACGGGCCGGCTGCGGCGAGGCGGCCGTCGCCTGCTCTGCGCCCTGCGCCGCTGTTGCCCCGGCTCTGCCCGCTGGAAGCGCTCGGCTCCCCGCCCGCTCCGGCACCGCCTCTATATATCGGGTCTCACTGGCCGCAGCCCGCCCCAGCCCTGACGTACATGGCCATATATGGAAAGCAGGAAGCCCTTATATGGATGCGGGCCGGAGGACCCCTCCTGGCGTCAGAGCCTGGCACAGGGGAAAGCCGGGCCGGGGGGCCCCGCCCGCCCCGGGCTGAGGGCCCCACGCCCGGCGCAGGTCTGACCCCCGCCATGGGCAGCGCCGCCGCAGCGCTGCCGCAGCATCGCCGGTCCCAGGAGACGGGGTCCCCGGCCCCCGCCGGCTCCGGCCAGCCCGCCGGAAGCACCCACCGTACTTTCCATATTAGGAAACAACCTTATAAGTCTCGATTCCGGCGGAGGCTTCCCGTTCCTTATATGGCGATTCCGGCCCCGGGTTGGGGGGGCGCAAAGCCCGTCTGCAGACGGGTGCGCGCCCGCCCCCTGGCAACAGAAGCGCGCGGAAGACCCGGGCCACGAAAGAGGGAGGATGCTGCCCGGGCGGGTGGCACAGGAGCCTCGGGGAGCACCCGACAGACCCCGGCGTCGCCGCCGTGTTTTCGCGGGCAGAGCTCCCCCTCGTCCCCACCCCGTGTGCTCAGCTCGCACTACTCGCCTCCCCTCCGTCTCCGCGGTGGAGCCAAGCGCTGCTCACGGCGGCTCCCGCGGCAGCCTCGGAGTTTCCTGTGGAGTTTTCTGGGTGCTGGCAGCGCGCCCAAGGCAGGAGCTGCCCGCTCCCGGAAAAGAGGAATCTCCGGGATTCCAGCGGCCTGCCGGGATGGCCCTGCTCCGCCCGCTCCCGACGGAGGTCTGCCCATAGCGCCAGACCGGGACAGACCCCGGCTCCGTGCGCCTCCTTCACGTAGCGGAGAACAGGGCACTGATAAACAGAGAGCCCCAGATACTAAATAGCCACAGCCACCACTGACTTCAGCGCGATGAAATGTGACAGCGCTCGGGGACTCTACTCTCGCGGCCTTAGGACTGTCCCCTGACGCGGCTACAGCTCTTTCCTGCCCACCCCGCAAAGCGCTGGCTGCACCCTGCACCGGCTCCGCATGGAACCCTCGGCCGTCTGCTCGACGCAACACGCACGCCAAGGAGCCGCGGAACATCGCTGCCCGGGCCGGGGGAGCCTCCCGCGCTATAAATAGTCGCTCGCCGCGGCCGCCGCCCCGCCCCGCCCGGGCAGCCCCGCTGCCGGCGCGCGGGGCTCCCCTGGCGCCGGGCCAGGCGGCTCCGGCGACGCAGTGAGGCCGCAGTGCGCGTGCGCGGCCATCGCGGCGAGGGCTTCCCCGCAGTGTGCGGGGCTCCGGGGGCGGGGTCGGAGCCGTCGCCCGCAGCCCGGGGCTTAGGCGGGCCCGATGCCGGTGACGGCGCCTGAAGCTCCGCGGCGCACGGTCGCCCCATCGTCGGGTGCAGTGCGGAACTTGCCGGACGGCCGGCTCGCCGCTGTCTGCGGCTCCATGTTCTGTCGCGGACGGGGCTCCCTCTGCCACAGAGACGGAGCGTAAAGGCAGGCGACTTGGTTCCTCTTCTGGTCTGGCCCCGCTCGCTCGGGGCGCCGCTCGCCTCCGGGCACGTCCTGCAACTCGCGGTCGGTTGCAGGGCTGGCTCTTCCCCGCGGAAATCCCGGGCCGAGCCGGGCCGGGCCACACAGGGCTTTATGCCAGGCGGCCTTCTTTTGCCGTGGGAAGGCAGCTGCATAAACCACTAGCCTCTACAGCCTTTGAGATTTATATTCAAGTTGCGAGCCACGGCAGGCCCCTGTCTGCCCGCTTTTTTAGAATATTTAGACTTTTGCCATGCATACGGTTTTTAACTGAGTTGCTATATTTAGGACAGTGCCTTGCCAGTAACACTGTGCAGTGCCTCCTACACCGATGCATTTCCACCTTAAAATCAGTGATGTACTGTAGCACCACAATCCAGGCTTTGGAGGATAGCTTCTGCTTATCTGCAGCTGCTGTTACTCAAGGGCAGCTACTACACATGTGTTCTTTGGTACTTACCCTTTATGGAGAGAAATCATACTAGTTTTCAATGCACCAGGCCAAACCTCTATTTTGAAAATGTGATTTGGAGCTTTTCCTTTTTTAATAGATACCTACTGCAGGTTTTGTGACGTCCCATACATAATGATTTCAACTAGTTTGATTTTCATCAGCATGTCATGGTTTGGAGCTCTGTTAGAAAGGGATGAGTAGCAGAACTTGACTTTTTCTACCAACCCTGTGGTTTGTTTCGGCTTCTGAACATCTTACTGACATCGCATCTGCCTTGTCCTCTTTTTTCATTCTATTCCTTTTCAAGATCACAACTAAGTGCCAGTTTCCTAGAGAATTTCATTCATACACTAGGAGGATGAAGAAATACCGTAGACCACTCTGAATGATAGGCCCAATATTCCTTTACGGATATCGAAGTGCATCATTCAGACAAATTTGGTTTTTTGTCAAAATCCAGAATCACAGATGGAAAAATCTAATCCTCTTTTTCTTTTCAACTACCTTAATTTTAATCAATTTGTATAAGATAAAACAAGAGACCTGCTTTAATAGTTGCAGACAGAGCAGTGTAACTAGCTTGAGCTCCACCTGTGTTACAGTAATAAAGACTGTTTTGCAACGTTGCACTGTTCTGGTGAGGCTTGCTGGCTTCAGGGAAGTACTGGAGAGGCCGTGGATGACTTACAACCTGTGCACTGAGCTAGGAAATGGCCTGTTGTTACGAGTTTTCCAAACTCCTCTTCTGTGTTCAATTTTCTTTTTCTGAATACAACATTAGGTATGTGGGAATTGCATTAAAGTTGTTACATTTTTACTATTGACATCCAAGATCTGTTTAGGTCATCTAGCCAGACATTTGGGTTTTTTTCTAGGTAGTATGATTTGAAGGTCCAAAGAATTTGCTACTATTGACTAGAATTTGAAATGTCTTTCCAAAATGGCAGTATTTTAATAAATTTGTAACACTTCCTCTTAATGTTCCTAGTGAAAGCACAGAAATGTAATAAGACACTGCCACTGGAGCAGCCACAATTTTATTTGAAAATTTAACAGTTTTGGCTCTGATTGTCTACTGAATAAACATGCGCAATACACTGGGTCTCCTTGAAAGTCCGTCGTTATCAAATATATTGTCTCTCAATACATTTCAGTGACAAGAAATGTATTGACAGAACACAGAGTGCAAAATGCTATGGGGTCAGGGAACAAGAACATGGTTTCAAAGTTAAAAATTACCTGAGATGAATCCTTGGTTTTGTTTTGCTTGCTTTATTAGTAGAGGCCGGTACAAACTATTTTATAGTCAGCCTCAACATACCTTTCAATGTTTATTTTTTCACAGGTTTTTTGATTCAAACTAATCTGTTGTGAGATTGTGCCAATAAAAGAATCACTGTGCCTTTATGAAATATGTTTCCACACAGTGGAATTACATTTTTATCTCTGTTACTTTTTGTTAACTGCTGCTTTCACGATGGGCTTACTTCTAGGTTTTTCCAACTTGTACTTTAAATTATGCAAGTCACTTGCATTTCTTGTACACAATTTTCTAGGTAAGGGGATGGTATTTTTTGTCTCTAAGTATTCCTCAAATGTCCATCTGTCTTGAAATTTTTAATTTGCAAATATGGAATACAGAGCAGGGGGGACAGGGGGGCAAATCCTCCTTAGGAAGCAAGCTTTAGGGAAACTAAGCTTGCAGCTGCTGTGAGTGTCAGTGCTGCTGCTGGCTCGGTATCCATGGAAACTTGATTTCCCATCTTGCTGCAGGAATTAATTGAAGATCCCAACCCACTTGCTCAGGGAATCACCGTGATATTAACTCACATCCTGCCATAAAGCTCGCTTTAATATCTCAGATTCTCTTTTCATCAGAACAAAAGGTTCAATTAGCTTTCACCAACTTTAAAAAAAAAAAAAAAAAAAAAAAGGCCATCGAAATCTTTACTGCCTCAAAACCAGGGCAGAGAACATAGAGCTACATCTTGGAGATCTACATCTTTCAAATGGAAAATGTCAACAACAGGAGAGGGCACAGAGTCAGGAATGCTCTATGCAAATCTCATGTCCGACATCATATAGTTACCTCTATTTTTCATCTATGCCAGTAGCTGTATTATCTTGTGGGAAAAATTCACTGTCCATACTTCAGTATCAGAACATAACTTTGTCTTCCACAGTACATTCCTAAGATATAGTGTGCAAAGCTTCAAAGAGAATAAGCCAAAAGGGACTTTTGCTAGGGAATATTGTTTCCAGACTTCTCTTTAAAGACTTCTCATTAATTACAAACATAAGCATGTCAAGTTCCCAGAAGGTCTGCTTCTGGATCAAACATCTCTGATTATCTACCTTGTAACTTTCTTTCCTCTAATTTCATGTTGGATTCCCTAGTTGCTGCCACCATTCCCTTTCTTTTTTTCCGATCCCCAAATAATCTTATCTGCTCTGCAATCTTTTCTCTTAGGACACTGATTTTCTCCATTTTCATCTTTCTGATACTTTGTATTTAGCACCTGGTCCTTTTGTAACCATGACAACTACATCATGATATCAGCAAACAATCTCACTATTATCTGAGGAACCCAATCTCATTAAATGCCAGCTTGAACTGATGTTTAGCGTCCTCTACCCGGGGGACAAGTTTTGTTTGGAGTTTTCTATATTTTATATGTGAGCCAGGAAAGGCCAATTTCTTCTGTTAACCGGTATCCTCCTTCACACAATTGTCCTCCATCTTTTGTTTCCATTCTTGACACACTGACTCTCCCAGAAATGTGGACCACTGAAGGAATGTTAGCACAGGAAAGACGTCGAGGATATTATCATAGACTGAGCATAGTCTTTGGATTAGACCAAAGAAGTTATGTTCTGTTGCTCTGTTACATCTCCAACACTGACAGTTTATAAGCAATTGGTCTCAAACTGTTAATTCCAGGTGCTGCAAAAACTGCCTATACTTGTTACAGAACAGTTTTGGATTTGTGGACATAGCTAAACACCACTGTTTTCTCTGAATGGCAAATGCAGGCAGGGGAAAAGTGAAAGTAATATTTTGAACTGACTTGGTAGTAACTCAAGACATATTAGATAAATAGCTAGGAGGATGAAGAAATACCATAGACCAGTGGAAGACTGCTGAAG